AGAGATTCTGGCTGCCATGTTCCCTACGGTAGCCCAGGGCCTAACAAACAGCAGGTGTTCAATATATGCATATTTTATGCATGAATGGATGATTAATACATATCTTTGCCGGGCGCGGTGGCTCGAGCCTGTAATCCCAGCACTTTGGGAGGCCGAGGCGGGTGGATCACGAGGTCGAGAGATCGAGACCATCCTGGTCAACATGGTGAAACCCCATCTCTACTAAAAATACAAAAAAATTAGCTGGGCATGGTGGCGCGTGCCTGTAATCCCAGCTACTCAGGAGGCTGAGGCAGGAGAATTGCTTGAACCCAGGAGGCGGAGGTTGCGGTGAGCCGAGATCGCGCCATTGCACTCCAGCCTGGGTAACAAGAGCGAAACTCCGTCTCAAAAAATAAAAAAAAAAAATACATATCTTAATGCTCAGTACACAGCAGGTGCTCAACATATGTTTATTGAATGGATGGATGAAGAATATATGTCAGTGTCTGGTATACAGCAGGTGCTCAAAACATGCTTATTGAATGAGTAACTGAATGAGCAAATTAATGAATGCATAATGCCTATGCGTCTACCCCTGGAGCCTGATATACAGGGGCTGCTCAATAAATGTAAAAAGAAAGAAGGGAGAGAGAGAGAAGAAGGAAAGAAGGAAGGAAGGAGCTCTCAATTTGCAAAGGGCAGAATAGATATTAGACAGAATGACAGTCACAGTTAATGAGAAGCCCAAAGGCCCAGGAGACATTTCTGCAGAGTCCCAAACGAGCTCTTGGGTGGGGCTGCCTGGTAGTACCCCTGCTTTTGTAATGGCCATGGCAGTCCTTACACAGGCTTGCTGAGCCCTCATTTTGGGGCAGCTGGAAAGCCCTGGCAGCAGCGGACAAATGCAGAGCCAGCTGCAACCTGTTGTGACCAAACAGGACCGATTAGCGTGTCTCTGCTGCCTGGCAGCGGGATAATCCAGCTCCCAGTGGACCTTGAAGGAGGGTTAACTCCCACGTGCTGCTCTCAGTGCTTTCTTTTCTCCCACAGCTGCTAATTAATTCTTGTATTTGATTCAAGACTCCTTAGATTCCAAGGAAGAAAGTCCCTATTAAGTTAGCTTAAACCAAACAAAAGGAATTAAATGTCTGCATGGCCAGTACCGATGTTACGGATTTAGGAGTGCAAAAATGTTGCTTTATTATTATCATCGCTTCCTGGACTTTAGTAAATCCTCAGCCACTTATAATCTTATTATTCACTTAATATCTTTCTGCTTTTTTCTTTTTTTTTTTTTTATTTAATTTTTGTAGACCAAGGGTCTCACTATGTTGCCCAGATTGGTCTCAAACTCCTAGCCTCAAGTGATCCTTTTGCCTCAGGCTCTCAAAGTGCTGGGAGGACAGGCATAAGCCACCTTGCCCGGACCTTAATAACTTTCTTTATATCAAATTGCTGTTTAAAAATCTATCACCTGTAATATGGGGCTAATAAAAAATGGTAATATATTTTTGGAAATGAAACTATGGAGTCTTAATTGGAAGATCAATAACAATTGCCTTAAGTAGGAAATGTCTGCAAAAATAAATGCAACACAAACAAAACAATTGTTACTAAATTCTAAGTGGTTATGGTAGCCCCAGTGCCTTCTGTGTTAAACAGAGAGCAGAGTAGCTACATTTAAAAGGTGTTGGCTGGGTGTGGTGGCTGATGCCTGTAATCGTAGCACTTTCGGAGGCTGAGGCAGGTGGATTGCTTGAGTCCAGGAGTTCGAGACTGGCCTGGCCAACATGGCGAAACCCCTTCTCTACTGAAAACACAAAACTTAGCTGGACATGGTGGCGCAAGAGGAGGCTGAGGCAGGAGAATTGCTTGAACCCAGGAGGCAGAGGTTGCCTTGAGCTGAGGTACAGTGAGCCACTGCACTGCAACCTGGGCAACTGAGCAAGACTATATGTCAAAAATAAATAAGTGAATAAAAATAGGTGTTAAAGACCGACTGCCACCTCATGGACTCTTTCTCTTTGACATAATCATAAAAATGACTGAAATGAAAAACAACTTCCTTGCAAGGAGATGCAAAATTATTTAAAAGATTCTCTCTGCCACCTAAAGTCATTTTCTAAAAGCCACGAAATCATCTAATAGGCCTCCAAATTTCCTCACTCAGCTCCTTTAATTCAGTTTAATATCTTAAAGCAAAACATCAGTATGTTTCATGCTTTCCCCCTGAAGTGTTCCCAGGGGAACAGGAAGGTGAACTCACCCTTGGAGTTCTGGGAAGAGTATTGCAGAAAGAGGCCTGCCCCAAACCTCACACAGCAGGTTGAAAATTCACATGAAATTTGCATTCTACCCTGTCATAATTGTATTTGTTTACCTTTAATTTTTTTCCAATCCATATGGGTAATTAACACTCCAGAAATATATACCATGTTTGTCTTTTTTTTTTTTTTTTTTTTTTTTTTTTTTTTTGAGATGGAGTCTCACTCTTTTGCTCAGGCCAAAGTGCAGCGGCATGATCTTGGCTCACTGCAACCTCCACCTCCCGGGTTCAAGCAATTCTCCTGCCTCAGACTTCCAAGTAGCTGGGACTATAGGCACCCAGCACTCTGCCTGGCTAATTTTTGCATTTTTAGTAGAGTCAGGGCTTCACCATGTTGGCCAGGCTGGTCTCAAACTCCTGGCCTCAAGTGATTCGCTGACCTCACCCTCCCAAAGTGCTGGGATTACAGATATGAGCCACCGCGCCAAGACCCATGTTTGTCTTGAAGCTTCGTGTCCCTCTGTGGTTCTTGACCCTATTGAACAGATGTTCCCTTTACTTTAAGAATGTGAGCCGGGCGCGGTGGCTCAAGCCTGTAATCCCAGCACTTTGGGAGGCCAAGGCGGGTGGATCACAAGGTCAAGAGATCGAGACCATCCTGGTCAACATGGTGAAACCCCGTCTCTACTAAAAATACTGAAAATTAGCTGGGCATGGTGGCGTGTGCCTGTAATCCCAGCTACTCAGGAGGCTGAGGCAGGAGAATTGCCTGAACCCAGGAGGCGGAGGTTGCGGTGAGCCGAGATCGCGCCATTGCACTCCAGCCTGGGTAACAAGAGCGAAACTCCGTCTCAAAAAACAAAACAAAACAAAACAAAAAAAAGAATGTGAAAATTTTGCCTCTGTAGTCCCAGGTACTCAGGAGATCGAGGCAGGAGGACCCCTTGAACTCAGGAGTTCAAGACCAGAGTGGGCAACATAGCAACACTCTATTTCTTTTAAAAAGTGAACAATTTGAGGGCTGGGCACAGTGGCTCACACCTGTAATCCCAGTACTTTGGGAGTCCGAGGCGGGCAGATCACCTGAGGTCAGGAGTTCAAGACCATCCTGACCAACATGGAGATACCCTGTCTCTACTAAAAATACAAAATTAGCCGGGCATGGTGGCACATGCCTGTAATCCCAGCTACTCGGGAGGCTGAGGCAGAAGAATTGCTTGAACCCAGGAGGTGGAGGTTGCAGTGAACTGAGATCACGCCATTGCACCCCAGCCTGGGTGACAAGAGCAAAACTCCATCTCGAAAAAAAAAAAAAAAGAACAATTTGAATAATGCCTTCTTAACTATGCAGAAAAAATTTTCAAAGATAAAAATTTCCACATACTTTAAAAAAGAAATAAACCGGGCGTGGTGGCCCATACGTGTAATCTCAGCACTTTAGTACACTGAGGTGGGTGGATCACTTGATCCCAGGAGTTTGAGAACAGTGTGGACAATATGGTGAAACCCCACCTGTACAAAATATACAAAAATTAGCCAGGCATGGTGGCACACATCTATGTTTCCAGCTACTCGGGAGGCTAAAGTGGGAGGATCACTTGAGCCCAGGCGGTGGAGGCTGCAGTGAGCCAAGATTTCACCACTGCCCTCCCAGCGTGGGCAACAGAATGACACCCTGTCTCAAAATAAAAAACAAGAATGAAATAAGTTCTTTGTTTGGTTTGCAAATTAGGAGGATGCAAGAGTATGTCATTCATTAAAATAACCTCAAAGTGAGTTTGCCAACACAGGAAAACACCTTTATATTATGTTTCATTCTTCACAGTAAAGATATCACTCAGTACCATTATATGTCGATATAGTTTTATCCTGGTACAACAGATGTTAGAATAATGATGCCAAAATAAACTTGTTAGTGAGAAAAAGAAATCGGTTCTGAAGTTCTAACAAGGAGAGAGAAATTTTTAAAGGCATTAATAAAATAACGTTTATTTTTAATATGCAAATCTTTTCCCACAACTCCATCTAGATGGCAAGAGGAGGGGGTCAAGATCTGCCCCTGGTTATAAATACGTTTGGATTTAACTGAATATTGTTGGTGCTTTTTCTTTACATTTGACCTTTTGAAATAAGGGTTAGATCAGTCTAGTCGTAGATAAACACTGTGAACGGAACCTGACACTGGAGCTTCCTTCCAGGATCAGTGGCTCAAACGCTGCACACAGCGCTGTCATTGACAGCACGATTTTCTGAAAGGAACAATTCTGTAAAGTTCCAGGTAAAACAAAGTAAATTTTCTTTTGACATACCTGAAGGTTGCATTCATTCTAGTTGCATTCCTGAAAAACTATATTCACACTATGCCAAAAAAAAGGAAAGTCTTGAATGTGTGAAAAGGGGTGTAGGTGCAGATAATCAGAAACAACGTTTCAGCTGCATGATGGGTGGGCACAACATTCGAGATGGTTGGGATCCAGGACAAGTCTATTTTCTCTCCTGCATTGTAGAATATCTGACATGTCTGGGCCCAGATTGGCATTCAATGCCAATCATTGGGACAACCAAGAATGCCCCACGATTTTCTCACCCATCCCCCATGGGTTGGCACTCCCCATACAGAGGGCCCCAGTACCCTCTTTGTTGTGCAGATTCCCTTTAGAGTGACCACATTATCGGCAGCTTTCAATGCAGTGCAAACGCTACCTGGAGGTGCCGAAAAGCCCTCGTGATTCCATGTCTTCCTTCTCCGCAGGGGCTGAAGATCAGTGTGCTGTGGACTCTGTACTATGGCATCCTTAGTGCTTTTGCACCCGTGTACAGCTGGATCCTGGTGCTCCGGGGCCTGGTGGGCTTCGGGATCGGAGGAGTCCCCCAGTCGTAAGTAAATACCCAGTGCTGGCTATGCAGCCTGGACGCCCATTGAGAGGTCTGTTCATGGCCTGGGTGGGGAGGTAGGGGCTGAGATGGTAGGGGGCAGGGATATAGAGAGGCTACACCGGGGCTTCCAGGATCAAAGAGCTGTGATGTAGCAAGCAACTAGCATCATTATCATATTGTTATGATCAGCAACAGCAGCAAAACAACACAGTGGCTGGAAGATTGGGAAAGTGAAATAATACATCTAGCGTTGATTGACTGTTCCACTTGGACGCATCGCAGCAGCCCAAGAGGTGTGTGTTATTGTGATATTGCAAGCTCTGTTTTACAGTTGGGGAAACTGAGGCTCAGAGAGTGAAATCATCTATCTGAATCACATGGTGGGTAAGCAGAACTAGGAACCCAAGTTTGTCTGCCTGCAACATCCATGCCCTTAGCCACCATGAACGCTGCTTCCTACGCCCTTCTAGCCTAAAGTCAAGGCAGGGTGTGATGCCCACCACATGTCACAAGGGCATTAATTTGCTATTGCAGTTGTAGTTTAAGGTACTGACAATATTTAGAGCTGTAGGAAGAAGCCATTGTCTCATGGGGGATTGAGGAAGACTTCCTATTTGTGATGGGCCCTGAAGCAGAGCTTGGCAAACTATGGCATATACACAGAATTTGACCTGCTGACTGGTTTTGTAAATAAAGTTTTATTGGAACACGACACACCCTCCAGTTATGTATTATCTATGGCCGCTTTCGTGCCACAGTAACAGAACTGAGTAGTTTCAGAAGATTTATGGCCTGCAAAGCCTGAACTATTTACTATGTGGCCCATTCTAGAAAAATATGTTAGACCCCACCCTAAAAAATGATAATAGCCGATATTTAGTATTAACTATGTGGCAGTTGCTGTTCTAAACGGTTTACCCAGATGATCTCCTTTAACCTCTCATTTTCCCTAGAAGGTAAATTCTACTATTACCCCCATTTTACAGACAAAGAAACTGAGGCACAGAGAGGTAAAGTAACTTGCTCCAGGCAACTCAACTAGGAAGTGGCAGAGCTGAAATATGAACCTGGACCTTCTAACCCCAGTGCCTGGGCAATAACCTTTGCATTTTACTGCCTTGCTACTAAGAAGGCAAAGGATTTGGAAAGACCCATCTTCTCCAAGGAGACTTGGAGAAGATGTAGGATGTTTTGTAGGAAGAGAACTGCATGAAAAGAGGAAGCTGTAGCCGAGGCTGGGGAAGGCTAATTGTCTGGTTGGTCAGCTTGGAGGGATGAGATCTATAAGAATTGAAAGCTGGCTGGGTGCAGTGGCTCACACCTGTAATCCCAGCACTTTGGGAGACCAAGACGGATAGATTGCTTGAGCTCAGGAGTTCGAGACCAGCCTGGGCAACATGGTGAAACCCCGTCTCTACTAAAAATACAAAAGTTAGCCTGGGCATGGTGGTGGATGCCTGTAGTCCCAGACACTTGGGAGGCTGAGGCAGAAGAGTCGCTTGAGCCCGGGAGGCAGAGGTTGCAGTGAGCTGAGATCATACTGCTGCATTCCAGCCTGGGTGACAGAGATTGACTCCGTCTCAAAAAAAAAAAAAAAAAAAATTGAAAGCTGAGGTTGGACGGGTAGGCCAGAGGAAGCTTGTTAAAGGCCAGAGAGATTCTACTGGTGATGAGGAGCCACTGAGAGTTCTTGAGCCGCAGAGGTACTTTAGAAGTATTAATCTGGCTGTGGCAGGTGGAACGGGTTACAGGGAAGGGATCATGTTGCAATAATTTAGGGAAATTTTGCAAGAGGACCAGGTCGATCCCTGGTCGTGTATTCATTTATTTCACCAACATTTCTTGAGCACCTAGAACTGCTAGTGCTGGGGATGCAGCATTGAGCAAGAGCGCCATGGTGCCTATTCTAGGGTGGGATCCTGGGGAATAGGCTTTGAGATGGAGATTACAGTGCAGCTGGTTACTAGGAGTAACACCTGGGAGAAAACTAGGCCTGGCAGAAGGGGAGCCTAAGTTGCAATACCATTGCCACAGAGGCCTCTGCTCAGCCTACAGGGGTTCAGAAGCTGAGCTGGCCCTTCAGAAGTGTTTCAGATTGGGGAAAGGGGGCTAGACCGTTTAACCTTCAAAACAACCAGGCATCGGAGGCGGGCTGCCCTCAAGGACGGAGCATGACCTTGGGCAAGGCAGCTACTTTTGGCCAAGGCAACTTCCACAAGGGACTCAGCCATGAGCTCTTAGCAGGCAATGCTCCTGCTCATTCTGGAGGGAATAAATGCCTCAGTCCTGAAGGGCAGACCACGTGGCACATCACAGCATCCTCCACAGTCCAGGGTGGATGACTTGCTTCAAATGTAGTCATGCGTCACTTAATGATGAGAAAGTGTTCTGAGAAATGCATCAATAGGTGATTTTGTCACCATCCAAACATCATAGAGTGTCCTCATACAAACCTAGATGGGACAATCTCCTACACAGCTGGGCTATACAGGGCAGCCTATTGCTACAAATCTGTACAGCATGTAATGGTGCTAAATACTGCAGACAATTCTAACACAATGGAATTTGTGTATGTAAACATATCTAGATATAGAAAACCTACAGTAGAAACACAGTATTAAATTAAAAAAAAAAAAAAAGGCCAGGCATGGTACCTCACACCTGTAATCTCAGCACTTTGGGAGGCTGAGGTAGGAGGATCACTTGAGCCCAGGAGTCTGACATCAACCTGGGCAACATAGCGAGACCCCCCTCACTATTAAAGAATAATAAAAATAGGCCAAATTTGGGTGCACTGCCGATGAGTTAGCCCTGCTCTGCAAGGAGCAGTACTCTTCAATAAAAGACTGCAAAATAAATAAATAATAATAGAAATCACAGTCTTACCATCTTATGGGACCACCATCATATATGTGGTCTGTGGTTGACTCAACTGTTACACAATCCATCACTGTCATCAGTTCACGCCACCTAAGAACAGTTCCTCCAGGTTTGTGGTTACTCTCTTTTCTGCAATAAGCTAATCTACAGTCCCTGTGATTGCTGCTGGCCTCGTGGCTGCAGTGGATGTCAATGTCTCCCGCCTCTGCTCCCCATTCTAGATTCCTCTCAGCTTCAGTGAGCACTCCCACTGATCTAGACGATGTACTTGGATGGGTGACCGAGACTTCACACCTAAGGGGTTTGAGTCCCTGGTCACCATGCCTCTTTTAGGCCATAGCTGCTGTGCTTGAACATTTCACACCAAAATTGAGCAGGGGAATATCAAGAGATGGCTGGTATATCACCTCGGTGCCCCTGTGAGAGATGGGGCTTATTAAGTCTTAATGATGGTTAGGATCAATTTCTCTGACAAAATGCTGACTCTTTTTCTTGCCTCTTTTTCTTGACACAAGGAGCCCAGAGTTACTCGGTGGAAGCTGTTGCTTAAAGTCTAATGGGGCCGGCCCCAGTGGCTCACGCCTGTAATCCCAGCACTTTGGGAGGCTGAGGTGGGGGGATCACCTGAGGACAGGCATTCGAAACCAGCCTGGCCAGCATGGAGAAACCCACCTCTACTAAAAATACAAAATTAGTTGGGTGTGGTGGTACATGCCTGTAATGCCAGCTACTTGGGAGGCTGAGGCAGGAGACTCGCTTGAACCCAGGAGATGGGGGTTGCAGTGAGCTGAGAGCTTCGCCACTGCACTCCAGTCTCAGTGACAAAGCGAGACTCCATCTCAAAAAAAAAAAAAAAAAAAAGAAGAAGAAAGAAAAGGTCTACTGGGACTCTTGCTGTGTCTCCTGTGGAAGCTTTCCCTCCCTGGGAGCCAGGACCGCTAGAGTCACAGAGCCTAGAAGTTGTAGGATGTGAAGTACAAATCCCCTGACGTGGGTCACTGGGACTGATGACAATGAAAGCTACTCTTACTTCAACCCCTTCATTTCCAGACCCATGAATCTCTTCTCCTGGGAACGAAGCATCATAATGACAATGGACTTGAGTGGGTATTGTGTCCTGGAGGACAGTGTCCCATGGTCATAGGGCATCATTTCCAAGCTGACACCTTAGTGTCACCTTTGAAGGACTGTTCCATTGTTTCCTCAGGTATCATCTTCAGGATAGCACAATGTGTGATAGGACCAGCGGATTCCATGGCCATATATCCAATTTTTTTTTTTTTTTCGTGACAGAGTCTTGCTCTGTCACCCAGGCTGGAGTGCAGTGGTGCGATCTCAGCTCACTGCAACCTCTACCTCCCAGGTTCAAGCGATTCTCCTGCTTCAGCCTCCCAAATAGCTAGGACTACAGGCACTTGTCACCATGCTCAGCTAATTTTTGTATTTTTAGTAGAGACGGGGTTTCACCAGGTTGACCAGGATGGTCTCAATCTCTTGACCTCCTGATCTGCCTGCCTCGGCATCCCAAAGTATTGGGATTACAGGCATGAGCCACCATGCCTGGCCAGCACTCAAGATTTATTAACAAGCATTTGATCTGCTGAAGGTTTTGGTAAGAAGAAGCTCAAGCGTCATTGTGATGGATGATGGATGACAGATGAATGATTCAAGGTATCATTGTAGAAAGAACAGGGACAGGGGAGATAGGACCACATGGATTTAACACATGAGCAAACCCCCAGCCTCTTCCTGCCACTTGGAGGCTGGAAGGATGGTGAGTGACTCTCAGCTCCCCTTCATCCTTCCCTCCTTTATTCATGATTAATTCCTCCAGGGCTCTGGAGAGTAGCATTTGACGTACACTTCTGGATCTGGGATGAGCTTACAAACCGCTGGAGCTTGAAGTAAAGGCTATTAACAGAGCCACAGCCATAAATCTGGGCTGGCAGGGGCTTGTGGACAATGTGCTCCGCTTCTGGCCCAGCTCCAGGAACTCCGGCAGACACAACCACTGCCCTATTCGTGAGCCGTTCATTGAGTATGATCCAGTTTTCCCCTAGTGGCTGGAAGGAATGTACTCACAGAAGAGCAAATCAAATTCCCTTACCAGGGACACTCAG